CTGGTAATGAAACATTCAAAAACCAATCCAGAAGCTGGGAGAATGAACCGTCACCCTTATATAAAAACAGCTACCATTAAAAGCTATTTTAAAAATTATAAAAACCACACAAGCAGAGACGATGACATTAGTCATAGTGAGGGTTGCATTACTTAATTTAGTTCAATTGTTAAATAAAAACAAAGTGATTTAAAAAGGGTAGTATGCTAAAATACCATGTTAAATATGTTCAAAGTGGTACTAAAGTACAAACATCCATTTTCAATGTTTTGGGATTGTTTTGTGTTTTTAAAACAGGGTGGTTTCAGAATTGTGTCTTTGCCTTTAAATGTGCTTTACAATTGTGTCATTACTTTACAATTAAATTTTTTTTCAGAATATAAAATAAAGTAATATATTAACCTTTAGTGTAATGAATTTATGTTATTTTATATTTCTGGGGATTTCATCTCCAGCTGCTTACTTTTTTCAAGGAAACTAATTTTAAACACTGTCACAATTTAAAAGCAAGTTTTGAAGTAATACAGATTTTTTAGCTTCCGAAAATTTATTTCCTCATAAAGTAACATTTTGCTCATAATTTAAGGACGTGTGGTTCAAAGGAGAGTTAGGCCATTAACTTAGTTGGAAAGGCTTAGTTTTGGGCATTGTTTAATAAGCAAGAATTCCAAATAGGAATGCAAGAATCTATCCCATTTTTCATTTTCGTTTTTTGGTTTTTTTAAAAAAATCCAGCATTAAACAACTATTTTTTAAATATACAGTAGGCAGATTTTATTATACATATTAGTACTTTTGATCTGGCTTCCAAACTATAGTTGCCAAAAGACAATATGAAGTGACAACTGGTTCAGTATTTAAGAATTGTGGACAAAGCCTCCAACATGTGAAACCAAAATGGAGAAAGAGATGATGGAATCAGGAGGAGGAGGAGGAGGAGGATGTTTGGAGCCTATGTTTAGTCTGGAAATTCAGGAGTGAGTCTGAAAGCAAAACTAAACCTTACACAATTGTAGGGTTTTTTTCATTACACATCTCATTGCTTTGAATCCCATTAGACAGTTAAGATTAGATTTTGTCTTAATCTTTAGTTTTATGCATGTTTTTGTTGTTTTGCATAATCATATAGTAAAGTAAATTAGTTGAATAGTAAAAGAAAGATAATTAGGGGAAGGGTAAGATGGGAAGAAATCAACCAAATTCCTAGTGTTCTAACATTCAGAACTAAAGAATTAATTCTAAGAAGACACTTAAGATATTTAACTATTTCTTTCAGACTACACATGGTTGCAAAGTTCCTTCAAGTTACACACTGTGTACACAATACTGCATGTAAGTGAATGTTGATGGGAAAATGTCCACATAATTCATAAATATTGATGAAAAAATGTCCACATAATTTTGTAACCTTGCAAAATATGTAGGAGTAATGAATTGAAAATTGAATTGAAAAGTGATTGCAACATGAAAAGGTGATTTAGGTGCATGGCTAAGATAGCATTATTCAGGCAGAATTTCAAATATCGAGTTATATTTGTTTTAATGAAATAATTGAAAAAATTTTCATGCAGTGGGAATCAAATTACATAGATGCATCCTGATCTCCAGGGACCAATTCTTTATTCTATTATAATACTGGTTTCAGTATATCTCATAAAATCTTTCAAGATGCAACGATTTTCATTTTTTCCAAGATATTCACCTTCACTGAAGCCCATGTTTTAGGTCCGTGGAACAATATATTGTGGAATAAAGATCCAATGAATATTGATTGGTCATTTTCTGTTATTTTTTCATACTATTTAAGCTGCCACATCTTTTTCCAATCAATCCAGTCAATGCACCTACTTTGGAAGATATTCCAGTGGTTATGCATGTGGAGACAGCAAGAAGCTACTTCTGAAGACTGGCTGGAAAAGATGCAGCTACTTTTACAATCAGAAATAAAGTGCTTTATATCCGCTCCTGTGTATTCTAAAAAAAAAAAAAAAATCAGTATTGAAGATTTGCATAACTATTGTATATAATACTTCTCAAGCAAATTATACTTCTTGTGTTTAATAGACAGCTGGTTTATATTCTTAAAAAGATCTATAGCTCATTTGGAAAATGTTTTATTCACTTTAATGGTGGGATTAAGAAAATAATTTCATTGTTGTTTATGCTAACTAGAGTTTAACTGCTATAAAATTTTTTTTTGAATTTTACATCTTGCTTATCCAAATCTCTGTTTTGCAGTTTGAGTCTGAAACTTCAGACAGTGTAATTCTGTTTACATTGTCAGTATATATGTGAGGGAAGAGAAAATGTGCTTGTTTTTACATTTTAATATTAATAGTTCAGAGAATATCATAAATATATTAGGATAGTTGATATTTAAAAAACCAGTTTTCAGTCATTTAGAAAGTAATAAACAGGAATAGCTATAAAATGTATTTTAAACTGGTTCATACTGCATTTAAATTATCTATAAAAGCTTGCTAAGTCACATATTATTCTGTATTTTCCATTTTATATTTTGTGGTTATGTTCCAAATGTTTTTACTTCAGCATTTCTAGTTTTTCTGCACTTTCTTCTGGTTATTCATTGCTAAGAAAAGACAATCAAGATAAAAATGTAGATAGATCTCGATATGCTGGGGAGCAGATACACATATATACACTCATATACTCACATACTGTATTCACAACTTTTTAAAATAAGTTCTTTTGCAATATTTCTTCTATCTGCCAATACAGAATTTGGGCTCTTCTCATGTTGTGAAGTTCTGACCAAAATTCACCAAAGTGATCACTATCCTTCTTTCTGCTCAAAAGGAATGTGTTGGATTTCTCTTGAATAGTTAAGCAAGAAACTATAAGAATATACAGCACAAGGACACTAAAGCTTTATAAGGAGATTTATTGTAGAAAAGCTAAGGAAGCCATTAATGAAAGAATTCCAGTGACTGTTATTTATCAAGTGCAAGAAGTATTTACAGTAAAATTAAGATTTAAATATCTCTCCTGGCTTCAGCACGAGGCTTGAGGCTACTCTGTTTTGAGTGAGAAGAAATGTTTTCATCTGTCTTTTGTTTATGTAAAAGCCCAGTCTTGCATCAGTTATTTGCTTAGAACCTTGTCGGTATTAGCTATTTCAGAATTTATAACTGTCAGAGATTTCACTAGGGCTGATACATGTGTGTGTGTATGTGTGTGTGCACACACACATGTTTTATCTTCAATATATATTCATTACATTCTATTCACGATTCAAGTGTTATGTAAAAACCTCATCTGATGTTAATTTATATGAGGTTTTCAGGTTAGAACCTGGCATAGAGAAGATTGTGACATGGAATATCAATGATAAAAAGCATTAATTAACTAATTGATTAATTAATTAATTAATTAAAGAACAGGAAAATAGGTTGATATGTTGGCTGCATATGATCTAAGAGAAATGAGACATAAATGAAGATAGTATGAATGGAATGGATTAATATATGGAGGGACAAACAAGGGTAGGTTTAATTATAAATGAAAGGGCTAAGATATTTGAAAGGATGACTTGGTGACATCTAGTTTGCTATATGTGTATATAAAAATAAGAATCCATAGTTTGGTAATAAATGCAAATTATGCTCTAGTAAGTTGTGATAATGGAAGTTTCAGCAATGATTTTTTGGAAAAATGAAAATATATGCAACATTCTGAATGTGATTTGAGAAATTGGAGGAGAATATGCTTTTAGATGACATGAATCAGTGCTAACAAGAAAATGTAGAGCAGTGATTAGGCCATTTGTAAATTCAAGTCTGAACTGATTACTGTTTGCTTAGTAAAAAGTCTGTTGGTTATGGTTTTCCCATGAATATATTCACATGTATATTCAGCAAAGGAATGAAAATGTCCCTGAATGTGGTGGGTATATGTGTGTGTGTGTGTGTGTGTGTGTTTCTGTCTGTGTGTAAATGAGAGACCATATTTTTCAGTTTCAAGGTACATCTTGAAGAAAGTAGGGAGGGAAGAAAAGAAGTGTTCTGTGTAAAAAAGCCTAAGAAGATAAATTATTACATTTTCCATCTTTAAGATGCCCCCATTTATAGGATGCCCCCCTTGCCCACTTTTCTTACCCAAAATTCAGAAATCAGGTGAAATCTGTCTCAGGCAGTGGGGGCAGGGCCTGCTCAAAAGGCGGCAGCCTAGGACCAAAGCACCAGCAAGAGCGCCAGAGGATCAGGGAGGGTGCCGAAGTGAGTGGGTATCATGCCTGCAGCACCCATGCCGGCTGCCCCTTCCTGGCCAGAGCTGGAATGCCATCGTGTTTAAGTGCCAGAAGATGCCTGCCTTCCCTCCGGTGGACCTGGGCAACTGCTGGAGAGAGACGGACCTGTTTCAGCACCTGGCACCTACATGGCCTCACTTCCTCCAAGATTTTGTTTGCCTACCTGATTTCCAGCTCCGTCACATTTCTTGATCACGTTTCTCGCCATTGTGTGCAGGGAAACAAAAGTTTGTGGGACTAAAAAAATAGTTCAATCAATCAATTCCAACATTGCAAGATCTTTTTCTTTTTTTTTCACAAGAAGTTGGAATTGATTGGTGGATAGATATTCAATCAGATGATAGCATCAGGTTGATTTTTTTGGGCCTAAAAGGTAGAAAGATTCAGACCTGATTAGCATTTAGATGGTAAGCCAGGCAGTAGAGGATCAACAGGGAAGTTGAAAAAATCCAGAATGAGGCTATTAGCAAACTATTTCTGAATAGTTTCCAAAAATACTGCATGGATATATGCAACAAATTATTAAAAGTGAAATTCAGCTCCATAAGGACATTATCATATACATATAGACCCTAGTTCAATGTTTGCTCTATATAATACTTCTTTCTATTTCCAAAGAAACAAATGACTACAATCAGAATAAATCTCAAAGATTTTAAATATTGTATCTGCTTGTATTCTCAGTGGCTGTTTAATTCTTGTGATCACATTTGAACTTCTGTTTCTCTCACAGGTCTGGATGTGTGGAGGTGGCATGTTTGATGTTCCATGTTCTAGAGTTGGGCACATCTATAGGAAATATGTTCCCTATAAAGTCCCATCTGGTACCAGTTTAGCAAGGGTAAGTTCCTGGACTTTAATAACTCCTTGACTTTAAAAAGTCTACATTACTTTTTTGCTTGATTTTAAATTATAGTCAAAAATCACATTCCCAACTTTCAATCTTATCTTGAAGAATTAAGAATAAGAAAGCTCCTTTAAGGGATATTTTAGAAATATTAATTTATGAGCCCTGATAGAGAATAGCTGCCATAATAGGAATGGCCACAAAAAACATATTTACTAGAAGGAAAGCTGGTAATTGCTATTTGTCTAGTCTTTGAAGATGATCTCCATTATATCAGTTGCCTTTTTTATTTTCTGGGCAAGTGGAAGCAGTTCTGTGACCAGGAGTGCCTGTTGTCAGCTTTAATCTGAATATGAATACATGAAATGGGTACATATAAGAAAAATAAAAGAAACAATAGGACAGGGATCTGAATATCAGCTATGCCCTTTAATGGATCAGGATAATCTAATACAGTGGTGTCAAACTCAAGGCCTGGGGGCCAAATCTGGCCCATGGGGTGCTTAGATCTGCCCACGGGACCACCCTGGAAACAGGAAGGTCTGGCCTACAGTGCCTCTGCCATTTAAAAAGAAGCTTGGGAGGGCTGCATTCAGCCCCCCGTGAGCTCCCTTTTCACTGGTAGAGGAATGTAGGAGGTCATCATGGCCGAAAATGAAGCCTGAGAGGAGTGTGTGCACCCCACCTCAAGCTCCATTTTCACTGGCAGTGGGTTGCATGAGGCCAGACTAAAAATAAAACAAAAGGAGAAACGTTTCCTCTTTTGCATTTGAGCATCCAAGAAGGGACAGGAAAGGAGAAAGTGAAAGAGAAAGAAAAAGAAGGGAAGAGGGGAAGGAAAAAGAAGAGAAGGAAGGGAGGGAGGAAGGGAGGGAGGCAATTATAATGAGAGGGAGGGAGTGTCTGTGATATCTCCTGTGGATGATGGCTTATCCATGTCTTCCTCTGAGGCCTCTAAGGAAATGATAGAATTCCTGGCATGTCAGGTATTACTGATGCTGAGCTGTCGGTAGGACATGTTGATGCTTTAGATCATTTTATAGTTGATACATTTCATCTTCACTGTGACATTTTCATGTTTATTCTTATGTTCCATGTTCTCACTAGATTCCCACTGTTTTTACAGAAAAAAAAACTATATATGTTTTATTTGTCAGCACCATAGAAACCTGTCATAAACCCACTAGTAGATCCATACCTTTTGCTCAATAGCGTGTTAAGTACCATCTGACCTGAGCAGACCACCATGCTATATTGTCAGTCACTTTATTTGATCTATCAACATGTAAAATGCATAAATGGTTTATCATCACCTTCTCCCTCACAATGTGAAATTATGTATTTGTGATTGTTATTACAGATTAACAGAGTTGGAAGGGACCTTGTAGGTCATCTAGTCCAATCAGATCCTCTTCATTCAAGAAGTAGCATCTTCATCATTTTCATTAATTTTTATTTGCAAAAAAAGCACCCTTCATTCAACATTGAAATAAATTATGGATATTCTTCACAACATTCTGTCCAAAACAAAAATGTGGGGTGAACTTTAAAAAAAAAAACAATTAAAGTGATCATGCACCTCCAGCATCTTCCTGTGACACTGCTCCCCAATAAAGATGCTTGCTTGCTTTTGCTGGTCAGCTGAGTTGCCTCGGATAATCCTACTGGAAATATATACTCTTACAGTACCCTCTTGGCATTCTTTGCTCATCCCTCCCTGAAACAGCACCATGATCAAGTAACATCGCAGAACTTGCAGGTCTCTCTGTGCTTGGAATGTTTAAACTTAAAAGTAACATTAGCAGAAATCAATGCCTTATCTCTCTGAAAACAAGACCCAGGGTAGACATGATAGCGGTGTTCCAATATTTGAGGAACTGCCAGAGAGAGGAGGGGGGTCAATCTATTTTCCAAAGCACCCAAATGCCAGAAAAGGAATAATGGTTGCAAACTGAACATGGAGAGAGATTCGATCTGGAAATAAGGAGAAATTTTCTGACAGTGAGAACAATCAACCAATGGAACAGCTTGCCTTCTGAAATTGTGGGAGCTTCATTACTCGAAACATTCAAGAAAAGATGGACTGCCATTTCTCTGAAATAGTATAAGGGCTCCTGCTTGGGCGTGGGGTTGAACTAGATGACCTACAAGGTCCCTTCCAACTCTGTTAATCTGAAGAACAAGAGCTTGGATTGTTGAAAGCAGTGATCAAACTACTGTCCCATTGTACAGAGACTACTTATCTGCTTCATTTTTCAAAAATACCTTTAAAGCTCTTCACTTAACTGTAGTCGACCATTTTAAAAGCACTGTACTTATTAAAAACCTGTCATCTCTCCTGGCTGTATATTTCTTTCTCTGCCACTGGAGACATCAACATGATTCAGATTGAATGGCCTCTGTTGTTACTTTGTTTCTCCTTCCTCATCAGATCCTTTGGACTTAGTCAGAGGCATTTTCCTCCCTCTTTATTTTGCTAGCTGCTTTCCTCATTGTACCATTTGAAACTCCTAATCTCTTGTGCTCTTCAGTGCAGTTTTTCCATCTCTTTGAACTACGAGGAGAATTCTGCTAAGCAAGAATACCTTTGTTTCCATTCTTTTATTCTTTGCTTACTCCTGAGGCAATATTTCTATTGTTTTATTTAAGTTCTTTTCTACACTTTATTTTTTTCCTAAGCTTCCTTTTCTGTTTCTTCTTTGTCATGACACCTTTTTCCATAGTTAACTAATTCTGGTTAATCACAATCCTCCACTTTCTCTCTCTCACACACACCCCACTCATCTCCTTCTGTATCCGCATTTGCATCTTGAGAGAAAAACTCCTCCCTTGAGAAATCTCATAAGTTTAATGTCATCTTTAGCCATAAGAAGGCAGCAATGGTAAAATTCCAAAATCTTTTGTCAAGGACTAATTCTGGCAGTCAATTGACTCAAATACATTCATGTGTACATAAACAAATAAGCACATAAATCCTTACATCCTCTCTCTCTTCCCTTAATCTCTGCCACTTGTTTACTTTGACCCATCCCCGGAGGTCCTATTGAACCAGTTTCTTTAATAAATGCATCTGTCTGGCAAGCTCTTGGTACATACTCATTGCATCAATGTTTTTAATTACTTCAAAACTCTAATTGTAGCCCCAGTTTGCAGGAACAAGAATGTTCAAATATCAGCTTGTTTAATGGAACTTATATTTGCATAATATAAGCCACCAATGTATCCCTATGGATACCACACAATGCACCATACCCGTTGGTCAAAACTAAAATCAGGAAAAGAAAGATGGGAGTGAGAGTTTAATTAATTGAATCTCTGAAAAGGCCAAAAAAAATAATAATAGATTGGACTCACAAGATTTTTTTAAATGCCAGGAAAAAGGTATGATTCAGTTTGAATTCTAAATAATTAATTTAAAGTTTTATATTTTTTCTGCCTGCAAACAATGCAGAAAATCAATTACATTTTTCTTTTACTAAGTAACAAGTGAAATTAGAATTAGTAGTAGCATTCAATTGAAACCATTAATTGAGATTTTACTGTTATTTGGTTAATTAAACCCCTTTCAGTAATTGAAGTAAGGGAGGAGTGCTGTTGTTGATGTTGTTTAAGAAGCTGTCACTCTTTGCTTAAAAGGTATTTGCTAATGGATAACCATCTATATCTGGTTAAGAGAATGATGTTCTATAACTTTAAGTATATATCAAAGATAACAACAAGCACTTGGAATCAAGATTTTTCTGCCTGCAAACAATGCAGAAAAATCAACTAGGCTTCTTGCTTTTTGTTGTTCAGAACCTGAAACGTGTGGCAGAAACTTGGATGGATGAGTTTGCTGAATATGTTTATCAGAGACGACCTGAATACAGGCATCTTTCCACTGGTGATATTTCAGCCCAGAAGGAGCTTCGAAAGCATCTCAAGTGCAAGGATTTCAAGTGGTTCATGGCTGCAGTGGCTTGGGATGTCCCCAAATATTTTCCACCAGTAGAGCCACCACCTGCTTCCTGGGGAGAGGTGAGGAACATATTTAAATCCAGGATTCAGCCTAATCCCATCTTTATTCAAAATAGTCAGATACAGCTATCCATTTTCAGCAAAGCTATTATTACTACAGTACAGATTTCACAAAATCAGCTTTAACTTTCATGGTCAGTGACTAGGCCACTGGAACTACCTAAGAGTCAATTGTTGAGTGGTAAAACTGTTTCATTTTTTCCATCATCATTTATCAGTACATATACAAAAATGTATTGTCATCATTAATTTTTTCCCGTTTGACATTTTAATAAAAACATATTTACAAAATACAAGGCATAATATTCATATTTAAATTTCACCCAACTCTTCTTTAGAATATAGTACAGTGGAAATGATGATGTGTCAGTCTAATTTTCTCTTGTGAAGATAAAGAATAATCTTTAATTCAGATTTGTCTTCCTTTTGGGTAAACATATTTGTATGTGCATAGTAACTTGATAGAGAAGTTTCCTGTTATTGTTTTGTTCACATTGAGACAAAAATACAATTGCTTGAGTCAGCCTGAACAAATTCCAAGTGATGTTTTGAAATATTTGATCCTCTTGGTCTATTTACTGCTATGTTTTGTTACTAATTTCCTGTTAGGTTTCAGTCAATAACTAGGGTAGTTCCAATTAGCTTGTCAACAGGAGATCTATTGGTGTGTTTGTTGCTATAGCTTTTCTTCCCATGCTTTCTCCCAAACATGCCCAGATAAACTTATGGGCAAAATTAAGCCCAATACTTTTTAATCACAATCCAAATGAACAGAATGTTTAATTTGAAATAAAATATATAGAGGTATACATGCTTAGGTTTTAATTATATTTATCAATATTACATACTTAACTACATAATTGTGAATTAATTTATGAACAATGAATATAATAATTAATGGAAAGATAAAAGATGGACAGGGTGACATTTATCCCTTATCAGGATTTTGTAGAATTCTTTGGCTATACTGCAGAATGGTAATTATTGTGCAGACAGCTTTCTTTCAATTGCTCCTCAATCTACCCGCTCCTTGGAGAGGTGCATGAAAAAGCTGGGTTTTTTTTTCCATATGAATAGAGGTGTTCATTCATTCTTCAAGGATCCTAATAGCTGCTTCTGAGATGTAGGATAGTACAAATCTTCATACAGAGCTATTCACTGTGTGGAATGAAGCTAAATTTGTGCTGAGATCACTTTCAATAATTTCTACTTCCCAATATCAGGATATGTTAGAGAAAAAAACGTATTCCAGTGTGTCAGGAAGAGAACAATCTCAGTGAAAAGAAGTTCAGCCACACAAACCAAATCTTTGCAGGGGCCTTAAACATTTTATTTTAAGTGTGTGGTTGAGTACATGGAAGCATGCACACACATATGTGTATATGTTTCTGGAAAAAAAATCTATGTGGTCACTGAGAATCAACACAAACAAGTAGTTGCTGACTGTTAGCTGGAGAACTGGGATATCGTGGAGCTCATGATGAGCAAATCCTTGTTCAAGCAACTTCTGGTGCTATGTAAATGCAACCAGTGGCACAAATCCTAAACAGTAACAAAGTCATGGAGAAAGAGGTTTAACCCCGTAATGACCTGCAAGATGTATGCTATGTTTGTATTGCAGGCCATGGAGGACTCAAATTATATCTGCACCAAGTGCAAACGGGTCAGATTGCTAGAGGATAAAGCGGGAGGACTTAAAGTTATATCTGCCACTCTGAGTCTCATACATGAAAATGAGGAATATCTCAGAAAGGCTGAAGTCTGTATTCAAATTAAACACAGCAAGGAAGAAACAACTGCAAGGAAAAATGAAGCCTTAGAGCAGGGGTCCCCAAACCCTGGGCTGCGGACTTGCATTGGGATGCGATGTGCCAACAGCTAGACTGCCCAAGCAAGCAAAGCTTCATCCGCACCAGCGCAGGATGCAGGCAGTGTGTGAAACCATTACCCCTCCCATCCATAGAAAAATCTCTCTCCATAGAACCGGTCTGTGGTGCCCAAAATGTTTGGGCAGCTAGAGGAAGACCAATGGCAACATATCACTCAGAGGACAAAAAACAAAACCCAACAGGAACAACAACAACAACAAAACCAAGAAGAGTGTCCCTGCCACTGGAGTTGAACAATTGATTTTATGTCCTCCCCCTTCATCTAATATTCCAGTGACAGGAAGAAATGTAGCTCAAACTGTCACAAAAAGGAAGAACCTGCTAAATTCTCCAAACAGAAAAGAGTGTGTAGTGGTGATTTGTGACAACTTTATCTCCTAAAAAGTGGAGGAGGGAAAGAGAGAGTCAATTATTCTGGATTAATTATTATTAATAGAGATGAAAAGGTTGAGGGAATGTTAGTTATAGGAACTTTGGAACATAGTGATCATGTCATACTAGAATTCACCATAATGCAGGGACAGGTGGCTGAATAAAGTCAGACTAGCATTTTGGACTTTAAGAAAGCTGATTTCAACAAACTAAGGGAAAGAACAGGAAGGATTCTATGGGTATATCAGAAGTAAAAACAGTATAGGATAGTTGGGATATTGTAAAAATGAGATAGTAAAGGCCTAAACAAAACTAATAGAACAGAGAAAGAAAAATAAGAGACTCCAGATGAAACCTGCATGATTGCACAAACTGAGGAACAGAGAATCTAATTTCTGAAATCTGCATTTTTCTTCTTCTCCAAGCTAATTCTTGCGGCTAAGCCAGATATAGCACTGATTTAAAGTCAAATGAATTGAAGGAGCAATATATATTTCCCTCTTTTTAATTTTGTATCCTTGGTTTTTTTTTCCCCTATTGGCACCCTATTTACAGCTCATGACATTTTTAATATAAGATTTATTATGTAAATCTGTGGGATTTGAAAGCTTTTATCTTGTAAGATGGCATGACAGTGACTCTGAGAAGAATGTAAAGGCACTGACTGTGGTAATCAAGGACAATACATTATCTGAACAGTTTATTCAACTGAGCAGCTTTTTCAGACTTTGTCTGCCATATATTCCAAACTCTGCAGATTGCTTTATTTAGCACTCTAGTTGCCACTTCCAGCGTTCGTTCTGCTGCTGAAGTGTCACTTGGTATTTTTCTAAGCCGTGCAAACCTAGTTTTCAACAGGCAGATGAAACTTACAGAGTCATCATTTAGATAAAACCATAATCTGATTACTGCTTGGAAAATGGAGCCTGGGTCAATCAAATAACTGTTGCTACATTTATTTTGTGACTTTATATAGTGCTGATTAATGTACATGTTTTCCATCTCTTTTCTCATTTCCAATCATAGTCCAGGAATGTGTGTTCGGCTGAAAGATAAGCAATTAGTATAAAACAGTGCTGGTCACAACTGGTCAATTATTTTATGACTGATCATAAGCTAAGTGAGTCAACAGTAAAATGTGGCTACAAAAAAGCAAATGCAACTTTAGGTAGCACCTATAGAATGATAATTTACAAATTGTGGGAAGCAATAATTCTGCATTTGTCATCTCATTTTGAGTAGTGAATCTATTTCTGAGTGCTATATGTTAGGAATAACTTCATAGATGCAAAGCAGAACAATAAAAATAACAGTGGGATTCTGCCATATATCACTTCCATTATTACCTTTTTATTGTCAGAGTACAGTATGTGTACAATGAGATTGGCTAAGCCTCCCTTTGTGTGTGTCCCCCAACAAAACTCACAGTGAGGACAGAAGTCTCTAACCTAAACCCAATCTGATTATACTATGTGACCTTGTTGCACAATGTGCCGGCCTCGCAAATCTATCATACTGTGTTGACATGAAGTTATTTTCTGTTCAGAAGTCTGACAACCCACGGGTAGAAACTGTTCTTCAGCCTGTTGGTGCGGCTGGCTATGCTTCTATATCTCCTACCCGATGGTAGGAGAGTGAAGAAGTGCTGACCGGGGTGTGAGTCGTCCCTGAGAATTTTCCTCATTCTTCTAAGGCAGCGAGCCCTAGCGATGTCATCTAGTGGTATCAGGGAACAGCCCACGATGTTTTGTGCTGTGCTCACCACCCTCTGTAACGTCTTTCTATCTGCGGCCGTCAAGCCAGCATGCCACACCATAATGAAATATGTGAGGACGCTTTCTATTGTGGACTGGTAGAAGGAGGTCATCAGTCACTTAATTTTTTCCTAAGGAAATGGAGTCTCTTTTGGGCCTTTCTGGCCACCTGGATTGTATTGATTTTCCAGGTAAGATCTTTGCTGAGGTAGACTCCCAGGAATTTAAAGGAGGAAACTCTCTCCACACAGCCCCCCTTAATGTAAAGTGGGGCGGGTTCCTCTCTCTTCTTCTGGAAGTCTAACACCATCTCCTTTGTCTTGCTGATGTTTAGGTGCAGGTTGTTTTCTAGGTACCATGAGGATAATTTTTGAACCTCCCCCCTGTACGCTGTTTCGTCTCCACCTGTAATGAGACCCAATACGGTAGTATCATCTGTGAACTTAATAATCACAGTGGATGGGTCAGACGATACACAATCATGTGTGTACAGTGAGTACAGGTAGGGACTGAGCACACAGCCCTCTGGGGAGCCAGTGGGGAGGTGGATGTTCCTCTCCCTTTGGTAAAGATCTCAAAACAATTAAAATTATAACACAAATATTGCATTCACTTTACAACATCAAAAGTTTTCATTATTATGTTTCACAGTCTTCAGACCAAAGAACGTATATATTGCCCAGCTAATTGGTTACTTTGAATTTGCACGGGAGCTGATCTCTTTTCTCTTGGTATTCTGTGCTAATTTCAGGACTTGCTCTAGCTCTAAACATCTATATGTATATCGCTGCATCTTGTCTGCAATATCTTTGATTCCATCAATACCTCCTATCGTACTAAGGCTTTAAATCATAATTTCTCTTTCTGTTCAACAACAGAAGCTGGACCTTATCTTTACTAGTGTGATATATAACTCACGTTGTCATGCGGCATCATATGACATGTTGAGACTTTTTTCCCTTTTGCTAAACTGGGCATGGGTGTGGCCAGCGTGTGACACATCCAGCCCATGTGACACATCCGGCCCATGGGCTGGGAGTTTGATAGCCCTGGAGTAGAAGACTTCCCAATTCGCACTTCCCTCCTCTCATGACCAGTCTGTCTTCACCTATATTAGCCTAGGTGTTTTGAGAACACTGAGATGTTTGCGATAATCCACATTCTTTCTCCTGGCTCATGGCCTTGAGTGCTGGTGCAAACTGGTTCTGAGCTTCTCTGTTCTCTGTTTCCTATCATGTACCCATACAGGTTTGTTGCCCATTTGTTCCTCCTCTCCCCACTCCCTCTCTTCTAGCCTTTGGTGGCAAGATACTAGCAAGACACCAAGCCAAAGATGGCAGACGTGACACACAGGATGTTCTACAGATAATTAAGACAAAAGTCTCAAACTAAATCATATTTTATATAGACTTAATTTAGCACAAGTAAGAAATCAAGTTTATAATTACCCTCTGCCTATAGTAGATGACCAACTAGTTCAACTGAGAAAGTAAAATACTTAAGCCAGACTTAGAAAGGTCTATACACAAATTTGTCTCCAGGCAACCTCCAGAGAAAACAACTTTTATCACAATTCAGGGGCTATTCTCATTTCAAATATGCCTTTTGGTTGTAATAGACTTCCTGTAGGGAAGGTACTATGACGCATATCTGGAGAATATCATTATTTACAACTCTGTTTGGAAGAATACCTGCAACAGTTGAAGAATTTATTTCCAGACTTGAAGCAGCAGACTTAACTGTCTATCTAGCCAAAGGTTACCTGGGGTTTTCTGAACTGCATTAACAAGGTTACATAGTGAACCAGCAAGAAATTAATCCAAAAGGAAAAAATTAAATGAGGTAATCCTGGAATTAGTGGAATACTGTGGATGTCTTGTTCCTTGCTTTTCTGCCAAGGCAGAATTCTAAGTTGCTTGTTCTCCTTTGTTACTAAAACATAGATTTTACAAACAAAGATTGCAAATGCCTCACAGATTTTAAAGTTATGGAGAATCAATAATATTTTTTCTCACAAAATTAATGTGTGTAATTTCTTGAAACTTTCTTCAGAAAATAGATTTCTCCTATCCTACCTTCTGTCCTTTCTTTTTTGCTTTATCTAGCATGCATTTTTTTTTATTTGTGGATGGATGTACATATGGTACATACACACATTTTTAATGCTGGCTGACACAGGCTATGAATGGATAGTTTTTCACTCAGAAGTATTGTATTGTATGGACTATAATCCATTATCTGCTGTGTCATGGGACAGTGCATTTTCTATGCATGTTGTTGAAAGATGATGTTTTTGTGTAATCTTTAGAGCTGATCTGGAAAGCTGACAAATTGAATTTCCAGAGCCTGATGTTATAACTTGTTTTCAGCAAAACAATTACAGAAATTTCTAAACATTAAATTATAAAATAAATATTGCTTTCTTGACATTAGCACTCCATATATGGATATTTTCAAACAATTTCTCCTATAAAAACAGTTCTGGTAACTTTACACAGCTCAGCTGAAAGCACACAGTCTATTTAGTTAGCTATTTCAATTTACATGTCTGCCTACTTACAAGGCATCTAGGCATCTAACATTAATATAAGCAAAAAAAAAAAAAGAATAAAGAATATCCAAGAAAAGAGATAACTTTATAAACATTAAAAAAAACACATGCACTGTAATATCAGTATCAAAAGTCACTACTATTACTAAATCACTTAAATCATTCCTTTTTTAAAAAAAGAAAACTTGTACAGTAGTACCACGGTACTTATAATCAATTGATTCCAAGAGCTGCAATGATTATCAAAAATTATGAGTACCAAACAAATATTTCCATAAGGAAGAGTATAGTGAGTCACAAGGCAGCCTATACTGTCAGGTTCTAGCTGGTGCACTGAATACCAAACAAACAATGAAAAACAAAACAAAATTTTCATACCAAAATGCACTGAGTACCAAATTTGATGTGTTTCAAAGCAATTGAGTACCAAGGTATCACTATATAAGGTTTGCTAAGGCAAATGCACATGACAACAATCAGAGGCCATTTCTACTCTGTTATGTGGTGACTGTTATCACAAGATCAGAAATAAAAATGCTTTAATCTCTTAGAAAATATATATCATTTTAGGTAGGATACTTTAGCTAGGTTTTGCTCTGTTCCAGTAATAGCTCCTTGGGGGCCTGATCTAGGTTCACAGTTGTCTGTTTTGTTTAGCAGTAGTGCATACCAAAGGAGATATTTCCATTTTAAATGCTGTTCTGTGAAGCTTATGAGAAAGGTCATTCTCCCTGCCTCTCATATTTTAGCTATCAAAGGATTACACTAAGACAAAATCATGGACTTCTCCAACGTGCCTACCATCCCTGTCCTATTGTTTCTTTTATTTTTCTTATATGTATCCATGTATTCATAACTATGTTTATACTTATACCTATTATCTTGTAAGCAATTGGCAAATCAAATAAAATAAATAAATAAATAAACATTTCATGATCCAACTGGGTACCCTTATCAGTACAAGTGTGGGCTTTGTTATATTTTTACATACAGTAGCTTACCCTGCCAGTTCTGGTGGAGAGGTAGCTTTCTCTTTAGTTTCTTGATTAGAGTATTGATCAACAAATATTCCCTTCTATTGAGTGTGTTCTAAATGCAGATGAGGAAAATTGGCTCAAAATTGCACACCAAATGAATTTGAAATTTGGATAAACAAGGCACAGCAACTTTATTTACTCCCCTAATTATCAGGTCAGTTAAAGAGTGCACTTAATTACAAGATCAGCAATAGTGAAGATTTTCACTGATCACCAAACCAATTGCTTTTGAGAAATTGGCCAACAGAAACATTAGTCGAGAATACAGGGGTCTTCAAACTTGACAGCTTTAAGACTTGTGGACTTCAACTCCCAGAATTCCTCCTCCAGTCATGATAGCTCAGAAATTCTGGGAGTTGAAGTCCACAAGTCTTAAACTTGCCAAGTTTGAAGACCCTTACACTAGTATGAAAGAGCTGTTTAAACCTCAATATTTCTCTGTAATATCCAGTTCCTGAGCAGCATACAGTTGATATCAATACAACTTATAATCAATTGAGCTCAAGTGCCAAAATTTATCCTAAGAAATTTTGACGTTTTGATTCAATTCATATAAATACAATAGCAATGAATGTAGATTGGGATACACCAAATCCAAGGCTTTACTGTGCATCTCTTGTGCAAAACCATTGAAAACTAAGCAGACACAACTCAAATGTAAGGCAAAACATACTACTTTTCTTGAGCAGACTCCTCCTCACCTCTCACAATGGCTTGTCACCTTGATTTGACAAAGATTTTTTTTCCAGTTTTGATAAAACCGTTTCTTTTTTATTTAGCTTCTGTCCATTTACAGTGACAAAAATAAAAATTTACTCAAATCCAATACCAGTACTCAACTGCAAGATACTGTAATGTTAAAGATACTGTAACTGCAAGATACTGTAATGTTAAAAGAATAGGTAGTGCATCCTGTCATACCATTAAATCGGTACAAAGAAGTAATTACAAATTAATCTGCAACAAAGTTCTTTATAGTTATTGTAAAGGCAAACATGCAATATGAACTTTGATTCTCCAGATACTCCTCCTTTACTCCCCCACATTCAATTAACAGATATCTTTCTCATAAATCACCTTCCATTCTTATAGGCTATAAAAAAGCAAAATGCAGCTGATTTTTAGCCAAAAGTAAAACTTCTTATCAATATGGTACTGAACTGAATTGACAAAAAAACCAAAAGTTTCTTTGCTTTCTTTCCAGACAAATCAGCATTTTCCAAGCTGTGTTGTGATGCTTAACATAGATTTGTTAATTTTTACAGATTCGAAATGTGGCAGCTAATCTCTGTATGGACAGTAAGCATGGTGGAACAGGCACTGAACTCAGACTAGATATATGTGTGAAGGATGGCTCTGAACGGACATGGTCACATGAGCAGGTATGTTAAGACAGCAAGTATATTTTAGGGTTGTTTTATTTTTTTAATGCATTGATCACACTAGAAGCTCTTGGAATTATAGGGCTTGGGTGGAACTTTGGAGGTATTCTAGTTTAAGCCTCTGCCCAAAAAAGGAGACCTTATAAGTTCTTGACAAATGGCTGTCCAATATTTTCTTGAAAAACTCTCACAATGAAAGACGCACAATTCTGGAAGGCAAGCTGTTCCATTGCTTAATCATTCCCACTGTCAGGAAATTTCTCCTTAGTTCCAGAGCACCTGATTATGACATCGAACATGTAAACAAGCTAAATTCACTACTAACATGGGCAACATCCTGCCCACACGCTTTTATCTTTCTTGGTGACTTCAATCTACTTCATATTAACTGGACCCTAAACAAATGTATAACTGAACCCATACATGCAACCTTCTACAATGCTGTTACAAATCTGGGACTGGAACAACTAGTAACCAATAATGCTAGACTTAATAAATGCCTCGATCTCATCTTCTGCAATAGTTTGAATTTAATTTACGGAATACAAACTAAAGAACCCTTTTCCAACAGTGACCACAATATGATTGACTTTTGTCTCAACATACATCCACACAAAAATTATCACAATGATGTAATTCCCAATTATAACTTCAAAAAAGGCAACTATGATCTTATAGACAACGATCTCTCATCCCTTGATTGGCAATCTCTATTCACTGGATGCAATACTGTTGAAGACCATTACAACATATTTTTAATTGAAGTCAAAAGAGTCATCAAACTATATGTACCAATAACAACTCCCCAAACAAAAAAAAACAGATTACCCATAACAATAAGGAAACTTCAATCCAAAAAAAGATCACTGGCGGAAAAACAAATCTGGTCACGTTGCCAACTTCAAAAGCCGATACAAATATTTATGCCACCAGATAAAGACTGAATGCACCAATTATCACATTAAACAAGAGGAAAACCTTCTATGCACCAATTCCACCCGTGCTTTTTACAATTTTGTAAACAACAAACTAAAAGACTCAAGGTCCATCCCACCCCTGATAGGACCTAATGGTAAAGACTGCAATGACGACACCATTAAAGCCAACATCTTTAACACTTTCTTTGGCTCAGTATTTGTAAACAGCAATGGATCATGCCCAGTATTTCCTATCCGAACCACAGAAAACTACAATGATCTAATACATATCGATTTTACAGAAGATGTTGAAATGTTGAAAAAGCACTACACAATCTAAAACCATCTCTATCTATTGGACCAGATGGAATATGTGCCTACTTCTTAAAAAAGCTATCCACTGACATAGCAGAACCTCTAAGCATAATCTTTGAAAAATCTTTCAGGACCAGCTCCTTGCCTAACCTATGGTCACAAGCCACAGTCATCCCCATCTTCAAAATGGAAGACCCCAGCCTAGTTGAAAATTACAGACCAATCTCTTTATGCTGCGTCACCTGTAAAGTCATGGAATCAATTATTAACCAATCCATTATCCTCCACTTAGAAACAAATGATCTACTCTCTAATAAACAATTTGGTTTCAGAAAAAAACTATCCTGTAATCTGCAACTCTTACACTGCAAAAACATATGGACTACACAACTCGATCAGGGCAAAGCAATAGACACAATCTACATAGACTTCTGTAAAGCCTTTGATTCAGTGGTACACGACAAACTACTCCTAAAACTAAAATCTTACGTTATCTCTGGACACCTACATAACTGGACAGAAGCATTCCTGTCAAACAGACAACAAATGGTCAAAATTGGGAGTGTCCTTTCAAATTATGTACCTGTCAATAGTGGTGTCCCTCAAGGCAGTGTTCTAGGACCAACTCTCTTCATACTCTACATAAATGACCTGTGTGAACACATTAAGAGCAACTGCATTCTCTTCGCTGATGATGTAAAGCTGTTCAATACCACAGACAATACTGCTACCCTTCAAAAAGATCTTGACTATGTATCAGAATAGTCAAAGAAATGGCAACTTCAAATCTCAACAAATAAATGCTCTGTCCTACATATTGGCAAAAAAAATCAGAAAATAAAATATAAGCTGAATAGTCAAGACCTTGTTGATGATCCAAGCTCTGTAAAGGACCTTGGAATACTCATGTCTAATGATCTAAGTGCTAGAGCCCACTGTAACTACATAGCCAAAAAGGCATTAAGAGTTGTTAACCTAATCCTACATAGCTTTTTCTCTGGTAATATCACGCTGCTAACTAGAGCATACAAAACAGACCAATACTCGAATACAATAAAACCAATACAATAGAACCAATACTCATCAGTCTGGAACCCACATTACGTATCTGATATTAGCACAGTTGAGAAAGTCCAGAAATATTTCACAAGAAGAGTTCTCCACTCCTCTACTCGTTGTAGAATACCTTATGCCACCAGACTCAAAATTCTAGACCTAGAAAACCTTGAATTATGCTGTCTTCGGTCTGATCTAAGTATGGTGTATAAAATCATACATTGCAATGACTTACCTGTCAATGAATACACAATAGATACAAACTATACACACAATAGATACAAACTCAAGGTTAACCGCACCAAACTTGATTGCAGGAAATACAACTTCAGCAACAGAGTGGTCAATGTCTGGAATACTCTACCTGACTCTGTGGTTTCTTCCCCAAACCCCAAAAACTTTAACCTTAGACTGTCTACCATTGACCTCACCCCTTTCCTAAGAGGTCTGTAGGGGGCGTACATAAGCGCTCCAACATGCCTACCGTCCCTGTCCTATTGTTTCTTTTATTTTTCTTATATGTACCTATTTCATGTATTCATAACTATGTATATACTTATACCTATTATCTTGTAAGCGATTGACAAATCAAAATAAATAAATAAATAAAATAAATAAATCTAGAACCTTTTCATAGTTACTATTATTGAGCCAGGTATTGCCTCTTCTAAATCTGTGCATTTGATTTCTCCTGCCTAACTACAGAACCTTACTTTACTCACCATTGAACTGCATCTTGTTGGATAGGGTCCAATAGTCAAGTCCATCAAGGCCTTTCTAAGTCTTGAGTCTATATTCCAAAGTGTTGGCAATTCTTCCCAGTGTCATCTGCAAATTTGACAAATTCCCTTTATATTTCCTGATCTAGATCATTTATGAAGATGTTGAAGAGTATTGAGCCTAAGACAGAACCTTGAGGTATTCCAGTGTATGCTTCCTTCCCTATAGATGTAGTTCCATTAAGGACTACATGCTGAATGCAGTTGGTCAGCTAACTATGAATCCACCTGATGGTGACACTGCCTATCCCACATTGTTCTGTCTTACCAAGAAATAGGCTGTGGTCTACTTTGTCAAATGCCATACTGAAGTCCAAGCATTTCCCTGATCCACCAATTTAGTCACTTTATCAAAGAAGGCATCTTTGCTAAATCAGAACACATTATCTCAGGCCTTGAGCTGATATAAAAGTAAGTTATTATAATTTGCACTTTTCCAGTAGCCTCAGTGACAAGGCTGATAATTTAGTGATGTTATTGCAATTTTAATGTGGGACAACTTAAGGCCAGTAATTAGTGGACTTCCCTGGATTATTTCCCATTTCATCCAGAATCACATGCCAAAAAGGAAAACAGTTATTAATTGCTGTCTTTAATGTACGTATTGAGGCAGACTTAGATGAGTGAGAGTGGTTGCTTGAGATGGAGATTTTAACTGTCTTTCAAATTGCCTAAGGGACAGATTATTCTGCCTTGCTAAATTGCCAGTCAGACTATTTCTGAGCATTGATTTAACATTCTTCAGAAATAGTACTGGGCCTTTTGTTTAACTGCATATCTAGTGGTCTTTGGAAGAGAACCCATATCTAGAAAGTAACCCAATATGTAGATATTAAGTGCAGGAGAAGGGTTGAGGTGAGCCTTGGGAGAACTTGATTTCATTTCAGTCAGTACCCCAGTTGACCCATCAGTCAAGCATAGAGTGAAGTTGAAGGGAACTGTCAGTAAGTGCTGCAAGGGACTAACAAATGAACGTAGCCAGAATCACCCAATATATTCCACATCCCTATGATACTTTCTAATCTCTTATTTAGGTTTACAAGATAAATAAACAAAACTCCTATCAGTTTCAAACCAATTTCCATATCAATGATGTGGAAGAATGGCAGTGCTGGGCAGTGTAAAATGTTTTTTAGTTTACACATTAGTGTAAAATGTTTTGGTTAACAAGACCCATTAAAATATCAGAATTATGCACATGTTTTTAATTCTGCAAGGAAATATTCATGCTATTTAAGCTACTCCAGTATGCTGTAATTAGGGTGTTGAATAGAACTGGGAAGATCCAGTTGATGTTGAACCATGAAAGTTCCTTTGATGATTTTCATTTTGAGAGTTTGGAAAAAGTTCAGAGAAGAGCAAGATAATTAAGAGCCCAAAGATTAAAACTTATGAAGAATGGTTGCAGGAATTGGGTATGGCTAGTCTAGAGAAAAGAAGGACTAGGAGTGCCATGATAGCAGTTTTCCAGTATTTACAGACTGACACAAAGAAGATGGGGCCAATCTATTATCCAAAGCACCTGAAGGCAGGATCAGAAACAAAGGATGAAAACTAATCAAGGAGAGAAGCAACCTGGAATTAAGGAAAAACTTTCTAACAGGGAGAACAATTAACCAGTGGAACAACTTGCCTTCTAGAAGTTGTGGGTGCTTCATTCCTGGAGATCTTTAAGAAGAGACTGGATATGTTTAAAATGGTATAGGGTTTTTGCTTGAGCAGGGGGTTGGATTAGAAAATCTCCAAGTTCCCTTCCAGTTCTATTCTAATTGATTGAACCAGTCAATCAACCTTTCAGTCAATAGGTGTCAGAGGCTGCTGATTGGGGGATAGATTAGGAACGTGGTATATATTAGCTCAATTTCTCACCTTTTTTTTCTTTACTTTTCCTGCACATTGATTTTGATTTATTCAATATATAGATTTAAGCTCA